TCTCTATGGCCGCAACCCGACACGCCTGACTTCGACCTTGATGTTGCCCCTCGTCCACTAAGAATCGCTCGTAAATTTATCTTTTATTAGAAGGTTCTTGTTGTAAGGCTAAGGCTTTACTATTACTACTCCTTTTCGTATTCACATACAATTTTCTTTTTCATTGCGTAATAATTTCACACGACAAGCATTTAAATTTATTTTACACAGCTGCAAAAACAAGATCAATTTTTGACGACTCAACTCGTCCAAGACTTTGATTGTTTCTCCCCAATGTGAATTTGAAAAGTTAGCACTTACAAGACTTCTCCCCACTGACGAACCTGATGGAACGAATTTCATCCCCTTTATTAACTGTTTCCCACTCAGAGAGTATTAAACGTGGTAAAAACACTCATTCAGTACTAAGTACCCTGCTGCCTATAGTACTACATCTACACTGCAAATCATGTTGCCACCTTTCTTTCAGCTTATTCAGCCACTCTTCTCGAGGACGTAGTAGCCCTAGCCACGGAAGGGTAAGAAAGCATTACTCTACGGGATAAGATTTATGATCTGGGCAAAGAAATGAACTGTGCGCGGCCGTTGTAGTACAACGATAGAATATAACTTTTCCCGAGTAGTAGAGTACTTCTGAAGCGCCTGCTGCGTAGCCCTAGCCCGCTACTTTAATAATCAACATCATTCTGCTTCAATCCACACCCGATCCTCTCGCGATGTGGGTAGCCACTTATAACGACGTCGGAGAGCAAACTTATTTTCTAGTGTAAGTACTACAGAATTGCGAATGAAAACTACCACGTCAAGATACAATCCGACAAAACCTTTTATCGCTAGTATAGCCTACTGGGAGATGAAAATCGACGGAACAGGGGAGGAACTAGGGCGCTCATATGCTTGCATGATGGCAGCCGCCCACGTTTTTAAGTTCTTTCGCACGACCGCTCGCTTTCACGGAGGTGCGATGATGTTCTTTTCTTCCTATACTACTGGATCGTGGTGCATGGTCCTGTGACGGAATGGATGCAAATAATGTCGGTCTGCGTTCTTGTAGTAAGGAAGTAGTGGTGCATGTGCACCGAAGATCCAGAGATGATAGCAGCAGCTCCCAATAGGAGGACTACAGTTGTAAGTACAAGCTTGGATAGAACACTAGCCCCACACGAAAAATCTAGCAAAATTGATGTGACGACGATCACCGCGACGAAATGGAAGATCTTGGCAGATCTTGTAGTAGAAGAAAAAATTTGTGTCGTGTGCAAATGTTGAAATAGATATCGTCATCGTCGTCCTCGTCCACGGTTGCAATGAAGCATGAAGTACGTCGTTCAGTATATCGCACGTAAGATGTTGTTTCGCGGCGGGGGAAGCATGAATTTCGTCATGAATATGGTATGTAAATATCAATATGTCTTCACTGATGTGGATGTCGTGGTCGTAGTCGTACACCAAGGCTGCCCCCGCAGATGATGCTTACAGTTCGTCTTCAACTCTCGTTAACAACTTCTGCGGAACTACGTCCTGTTAGTGATAAGTATTCGAAAATACACTAATAGTCGCTATCTAAAAGGTGATTCTTCCTTACTTCCACACAAGACAACCATAAACCATTTTGATCACAGGAAACAAACATCACTCCTCGACTGAAATAAACCAAGTCTCAAAAAAACCGGCAGCAAGCCAACCACTACTACAACCTCTACTACGAGAAACCTTTTCTCCCAAGAAAAAACTTTTTTTGTTTTCTTCGATAAAGAAGCGAAAAACACAAACCAAAAATGTTCGCGTCCAAGAAGACCCTGGTGCTGCTCGGCGCTGTCGCCGCCAATGTCGCCTCCGCGACCGTTGTTTCCGAAAACCTGCTCCGCAAGAAGACCACCCGCTCCGAGGTGACGACGACCGAGGTACTTACTTACTTATACTTAAACCATAAGTATTTGGAAAAAAGGAGCTTCTTGTACAGATCATGCGCTAACTTCATTGAAGGAACTAATTGGTGAAACGACGACTCTTCTGACTTCTGTCTTCTGACTTCTGTCTTCTAGAAGTGAGACCACGCCTGCGAGTAGAGTGCTTTGGGTTCTTTAAGATTTGGTGTTGACATAATGATATATTCACCAGTTGCAGCGGACCAGGCTACTTACTACTTCTTTTATTTTTTTCCACCCAGGCTGCCGCGGCTGAAGAAGCGAGCCTGTTGCAGGTCACCCCGGATGACTTTGCCGAGCTGCAGTCCGCCATGCTGGGAACCTCTTTCGTGCAGAAGATGCTGATATGCACTGCAAATATGTCTGGGTGTCTGGATTTGTGATGCGAAAGTGGAAGGACAGAAAGATATCTGTGATGCAGGAATGTTTCTTCTTTTCGTCATGCAGTAAAACTCGGTTTGTCATGCGAAACATCACGCTAGAACGGACAATAAGTACGACCCGAAAAATTTGTGATGTGTGGATGCCGTGCAAAAGATCGCCCTGACATGCAACACCCAGCAACACAAATTTGCTGCGTCTTTCCAGACCCAGATCGATATTTGCATTTGATAGATGACGCATGCCAAGAAGGCCCACGTTGCGGCGAAGGCGGACGGCGACGACGAGGGGGAAAGCACGGACATGATGACTGGTTTGGGCGACATGGGCATGGTATGCATTGCAAATATGTCTGGGTCTGGAAACTTGTGATGCTGAGGGGCGAATCATGAGGAGGCCACAAGTGACGGCTCAGCATGACAAGTTCCTGACTTGCTGCGTGTTCTCTAGTCAGCATGACAAACTTGGTTTTTGCATGACAGAAAGTTGGGGCTTTGGGATACTGTGCATGACAGACTTGAGAGTCATGCTGGCCGAGCATGACAAACTTGCGCTCTTGTTCCAGACTCAGACATATTTGCAATGGATACATGGCCATGGCGAAGATCATGTTCGAAACGTTCCAGCCCCAGATGCAGGAATTCCTGTATCCTGTGAAAAAGTATCGTACTCGTATTGCAATCATGCATTACAAGAAATCTTTATCTTAAGGCAAATCCGCATTACAAATTTCATTTCTCATGCTAGGGAAATTTGTAATGCATTTATACGAGTACGATACTTTTGCAATGCATATCCTGCACAAGCAGCTGAAGGCGATGGATTCCGATGATGACGGGAAGCTGGAAATGAACTCGCGCCTGGTCCCGGGCTTTGAGTTCATGAAAGTCATCGTCGACATGATGAACAAGGAGCTGCAGTTATTACAATGAAAAATGCCCCCACCCCCGAATTTGGGAGCATTTGCATTGCAAACCTTTGCAAATGAAACATTCGCCCTCTTCCATCTATCAGCATCACAGGTTTCCAATCGTGAATAGCGAAAATTTGTATTGCAAAAGACCGCAGCAAGAGCGGCGCCTGTCATGCAAGCAATGCGATACACGCCTAGACTCTGCATCAGAAAGATTCATACTCCTTTCGTGCATGAAAAAAAGTTTTCATTTGGAAACTTCGCATCACAAACTTTTGCAATTTCAGGGGTGAGGGGCACTTTTCACTGTAATAGCAGTCGTGGGAGGCCGAGTCCTCCTAAACCGAAACTACGTCGGTTTATCAGCGACTAGTTGTACTACAACAAGTGTCGTCTGAGTCGTGACGCCGTTTAACACAACCGAACGGCGGAACGAAAGGGGTTCAGAACTGTGAAAAAATCTTTCATCTAGGAAAACATGAAAAAATTATCTTTTCAACGCATTATCGTCCAGACTGTACTACTTTTTGTTTTTCCATTCTACGGTTTGACTTCTTACAACTGCAAATTTAAATTCAAAATATGCGTTTATTTCATCTGTACACCAGTAAATTTTGTGCCAGATTCTTGTTCTCATGATTGTTTGTTCTAACATTTGATACGTCCCAATAATTTTTCTCTCGAAAGAACAAAACGTCGCGCAACAAACTCCAAGACGCTAGTCAACGAGTTAGGGTCGTTTTGTCGCGAGCAAAGATTCATCTGCAAGAGTTGAGGTGCTTTAACCTCTGCTACATCACAAGACGGGGCGGATGATATTAGGTAGTAGTCGTCAACAGTAGAAGTGAAAGTGTTTCCACAATCCACATCGAGGACCACCGTGTCTATCTGTCTCTATGGCCGCAACCCGACACGCCTGACTTCGACCTTGATGTTGCCCCTCGTCCACTAAGAATCGCTCGTAAATTTATC